ACTCCTTCACAGAAGCATGAAGTTTATCCGTTCATTCCTCCAATTACCCCTATAAAGCGAGCTCTACCCAGCACCTCGTCGTCTATAGTTACTGCTGATGCCACGGATGATGTTAAAATTGAAAAAAATGTGAGTACCAAAAGGTTGCCTAAGAAATTAAAAAAATCTCCTGCGGCCAGCATAACACTGGAAGGTATTTCCGCCCAACTTGTTCCTGCCAAAGAAATTATTACAACCGATTGTAACAAGTATCTACTTAATTTCGAAAAATTAACGGAATTTCTCTTTACCAGCTACGATAACCCTAATGTTTTTGAGAATGCCAAAAGATATTCCTCTGACATATCTGGTATAATGCGCATGCTCAGTAATATAAAGGTCCACCTCTCGGAACGCAGTATAAGGAGCCGTATAGTTAGAATACTGAAGAGGCTTGGAAGAACGGATCAGGACCAGGAGGAGGCTTTGAGCACGGACTCGTGCTCACAGGAAACCTAGAAGTTCTACTTTGTTCCAACTTTCTCTCATGAACCATTCCATTAAAATTCTATACTGGAATACAAGAAGTCTTCGCAGGAGACTTCAAAAAATCCAAGCAAATCTACATCAGACGGACGTCTTCATTTGTGTAGAGTCCTGGCTTTCATCAGAGGATAAGATAAAATTTCCCGGCTTCCATGTTTATCGGTGTGAGAAACTCCATCGTAACGGTGGGAGTATCCTAATTGCAATACGAAAATACTTATCCTACATAGAAATCAACCAAATTGTAACTCCAGATGTCTCTGTTGAGCTTTGGGGAATTCGAATTGTAAACCTTCAAGTACCTTTAGATTTAGTTGTATGCTATAGAACTCCTGGTTTTACACTCACTCAGGTCCAATGGAATGCAATCGCTAACAATGTAGATAAAAACGGTAACGTTATATTTTTTGACGACTTTAACGCTCATAATGCTAACTGGAACTGTCGTTATACTGACAATAATGGCAGGAGATTAAAGATTGCTTTCGAATTAAAAAATTTGTTTTTGCATAACGAAAACTCATATACGCATATAGATTTACATTCAAATCGCAAGTCCAACTTAGACCTCATTTTTTCTACCATTAACATTGCTGACAAGCTAGACGTAAGAGTGTGTGATGAAACTTGGGGTTCCGATCATTACCCCGTTTTTGTTGATGTTAATATTCAAAAAAGTTTTTTTGAGAAACACTCGTTCAAGCTCAAATCTGTTCGTACAGATTGGACCAAATTTTGCGATTTGTTGGAAGAATCTTATCCTTTCTTTCTTACTGAAAAATACATGAACCTGCCCCCTAGTTCTAAATACGTTTCATTTGTCGAGATTTTGACTCAAGCCATACGACTTAGCTCCCCCGTTAAAGTCCCCATCCCTCATCTCAGAAGAAGAAATCCTGTACCTTGGTGGGACAAGGAGTGCGATACCCTTAAAAGATTACGTCGAGCCGCATACAAAAAGTGGGAATTTTCCTTAGAACTAGATGATCTGATACAATATAAAAAAATGTGTGCAAAAGCTATAAAAACTTAAAAAAAAAGAAAAAAGAATGCTTTCGTCATTTTGCAGAAAGTATAAATTTCGATTCTAACTCCCGTTATGTTTGGAATAAGTGCAAGATTTTTAAGAATTCATGGGTTAAGATCCAACCCCAACATATTCCATCAAATTTCAGTAACAATGACGACGTCGACTACGTGATTAACAAACTAAGCCCCCCCTGGGCTCCGACTGACCCTAATTGGCTTTCTCATTCAGCTCCGAACACCTTTTTTGATTCACCCTTTAACTTTACTGAATTTTCTACTGCACTCGATTCTAAAAAGAGAAACTCTGCTCCTGGTATGGACGGAATCGACTTCGACATTCTGAGTAAACTGCCGATGAAATTAAAAATTACTCTACTGAACGTATTTAACTCAATGTTTTTAGTCAGAGATTACCCCTGCAATTAGAAAAGTGCTTTTGTTTTCTTCGTTACTAAATCTGATGGTATAAGCCTTCGACCTATTTCCCTTACGTCCTGTCTATATAAACTGTTCGAAACGATTGTCAAAAACCGACTTGTTTGGAAAGTAGAAACTTGATTCCCGGTTCCCAATATGGTTTTCGGAGAGGTAAATCCTGTATTGACAATCTCACAAACTTAACATTAAAAGTAGAGGAAGCTTTTGCGGAAAACCGGGAAGTCATTGCTGCCTTCCTTGATATTTAAGGGGCTTTTGACAACGTGAATATTGTTATTCTGCTTTCCAAATTAGCCTCCTTTGGCTGCTCACCAAATGTTTTAGTGTTTGTCAAATTCCTTATGCACGAAAGATTTTTATTTTCGTTTAACTCTAAAGATACACCAAGATCTGTGTTCAAAGGAGTGCCGCAAGGTGGGGTCTTAAACCCTTTACTCTTCATAATATATACATCAAATATCGCTGATAATGTTCAATGTAGGGTGGCAATCTCCAAATTTGCCGACGATCTAGCAGTCTATATTAAGACCCCCTCTAGCTTAAGAGGAACAAAAATGATAGAAAGAGCTATTGAAACTATGAAAAATAATCTTTTTAATTTAGGTTTGATTTTATCCCCTCACAAAACTGTCGTTCAGCATTTTAACAAAAAGAAAATCAAACCAGGTTCTATTGAAATAAAAATTGAAGATACAACGATTAAATCAAGCGAATATGCTCGCTTCTTTGGATTACTTTTTGATTACACTTTGTCATTCACCCTACAAATTGACCAGGTTATTAAGAGATGTAATAGGGCGTTAAACATTATTAAACTTCTAAGAGGTACGTGGTGAGGTGCGGATCCCTCCACCCTCATTACTCTATATAAAAGTTTTGTGCGCTCCATCATAGACTATGTCTCTTTTATCTACTTTCCTAAACGTAAAAAAGAAGAGGAAAGGCTTGAGAAGCTTCAATACTTAGCCATTAGACTGGCACTGGGGTATCGCAGAAGCACACCCACCAATATATTATTAGTTGAACCCAAAATTCCCGTGCTTAAACAACGCTCTAAATATTTATGTCTCCGCTTTCTTTCAAAGGTTTTTTCCAACAGCAACTCTCTTACCTTTCAATCTATCAAACGTTTCTACAATATCACTAAAAATAAAACGAGCAGATCGAGCAGTTTACTGAAACAGTGTATCTCACGCATAATGTCCATATCAGACAAAATTGAATCTAACCCGAATTTTACCATGTACTCTCATGACTATGAAACAATAAACACTTCGATCCCTTTTGACCTTAGGTTTGGCCAGTCTCTGAAAACGCTGAATAGCTTGGAAGTTATTAACTGTAAAGTGAAGAGTCTTGTCAAAGAAAATAGCGCCATTTCTATATTTACCGATGGCAGTAAAAGCCATGACAGCACTTGTACTGGTTCATCTTTTTTTTGTGAGGAACTAAATACATCCGCCAAGAAAAGTTCAGATAAATTAGCTTCGGTTTTTACAGCCGAATGCATTGCTATTGCGGATGCGATTGATTTTGCCACAGAAAATAGTAACCACAATTTTATTATTTTCTCGGACGCATTGAGTGTGCTCATGAGCTTAGAATCAACAAAAACGGACATCAAAACGAACCCCCACATTCTGATTATTAAAAAGAAATTCAACAAATTCAATAACAAAAAGACAAACAATAACTTTATAAAATTTTTCTGGATACCATCACATTCGGGTATTGTAGATAACGAAAGAGCTGACGCTCTTGCTAAAGGTGCCTCTCACTCTAACTGTGTTCACGCCACCAGCATCCCTTACACAGACTTACTAGAAACCTTCAAAAAAGAAATGTTAACTAACTCTGTAAATGTACTTAACCCTTTGCTTACGGCAGTACGCGCCGCGAAATGTGCCGCACCCATACACACAGGTCATCCCGCGGGTCCCGCGGTCGGCTATAGTTGGACCCGTATACACAGGACGTCGCACGGCCGCCGACTATAGTCGGCACCCGTACACACAGGTCGTCACGCGGCCGCCGACTGTAGTCGGTATCCGTAACGAAAGGGTTCAGGATTAAGGTCTACATAAGGGTAGGGATTACTTTCGTCTTTTTTACAGGGAGAATCGTCATCCCTGGTACCACTACTTAAAGTTACCTCGATCAGCCATTGTATCAATTAATAGAAGTAGAGCAAACCATTATCATTTGGCAGCCTCCCTTGCTCGAATAAGCATCACTGACAACCCCAGGTGTAGATGTAATTTATATGATAAAATCACTTAATCATGTTTTATGGCAGTGCGATTTGTATAACAGAGAGAGATATAATTTAATTGTAAATCTTCGCAAGGAAGGTCTACAGCTACCTGTAGAGGTATCCATGTTATTAGCGAAACCGAATATCAAGGCTTGCCTACATATGATAAACTTTTTGAAAGTCTGTAAGTTAAGGGTATAAATACTTCAATCTTAGTCAGTTATCTGCAAATTGTAGTTTAAGTTTACTTATAAGTATCAATAGTTTACTGTAAGATCCGTTGTAACAAGTTCGTTATGTCTGTTTTTCACTTTCTGTACAAGTTTTTTATAAATCTCTTTTGAGATTTAAAATAAAAAAAAAAATCCAAGACTACAGATCTCAGAGCCGCCCCATTTACTATTTGGACGAAACATGGGTGAATGCTGTAAACATCCGAAAACGACTGTGGGTGAACACGTCTGTCCCCAGCATTCAGAACGCACAAAAAAGGGGGCTATCTACAGGGATCCCTGGTCCCCAAAATACGGGGAAACGCCTAATCATCGGACACAACCGGTCAGTAGATGGGTTCGTAGATGGACCCCTTCTCTGTTTTGAGGCGAACAAAAATTCTGCCGACTATCATGACGAAATGAACGGCGATACATTTTTCGATTAATTTCGGACTTTTTTGCCTATGCTAAAAGATAGGGCCGTAATTATTATGGACAATGCTCCTTAACAAAGCAAAAAAATTGAAAAATATCCCAACATGCAGTGGAGAAAAAATGAAATAATTACGTGGCTGCTGGGTAAGGCGGAAAAAGTGGAGCAACATTTCGTGAAGGCGCAGTTAATAGAGCTCTCTCAAAAGTATAAGAGAAATTATGTTATAGATGAGTACGCCAAGCAACATGGCCACAATGTGCTCCGACTTCCTCCTTATCGCTGTGAGCTGAACCCCATCGAATTAGCATGGGTAAATATTAAAGATTACGTGAGGGCACGGAACACCACGTATAAATTACGTGATGTTCAGCGCCTAGTATACGAAACAATCGAAAATGTATCGCTGGAGATGTGGCAAAATTTTATTCGCCATGTAACAGAGGAGGAAAATAGATTCCGCCAGTTGGACCACATCACCGACTCGATGTTCGATGAAAGGGCCGAACGGGTGAAGCGGTCGGATTCTGAATCGGACTCCGACTACGACTCCGATTAGGATACCGTTTTTCGGCGGTCTTGGGGTTTTAGTAGGTATTCCTGAAGTTTCAGGTGAGTCCCACACTCCCTCACGTATTGCACGCCAGCGCGAGGGGTACGTAAATGCATTTCCCCAAGTAAAAAACAAAAAAAAGTATTGGTAAGGGCGCAACACTTTACGACCGTGCCACATACCATACTCATGAATTAGATGGTTAAGTATTGTGTCAATATTAAATATTGTATATATTGCGTATAACTGTATGCGCAAGCATTTTTTTGTATATATTAAGGGGGGAATGTCTTTTTTTCCGCTAATTTTTCCGCTTTTTTCTCATTTTTTGGTGAAAAAACTATACAACGGATCAAGGTGAAATTTGGCATGTAGATTTATTAATTCTTTATGTATATATAAAAAAAAATTGAATCGATTTCCTCCAAAAATACACCTCCCACCCCCCGAGATCCGCGATGGTCCATATCCGATGGTGTGCTATATTGTAGCTTTCTCGATAATCCTGCAACAAAAATCCAAAAACATCTTTTTTTTTAAACACATGTAGCTATCGTTTAACGAAGCGAAAAAAAAACAAAAAATATTTGAGGTTCTAGCGAGGTCTTGAACTCAAGTTACCGATTAATCCAAAATAATCGATCGATCTTTTTCTTATAAGCAAACAAATACTGAACGTATTAACTTTTTGGTTGGTCAAACGGAAGAAGCACATTGACTGAGCATGCTGCCCGAATTTGAAAGCAATCGGTTCAATAGTTTTTAGAAATCGTGCACACTAGTTGAAAAAAAGCTGTTTCGAGAAAAAAGAGTTTAAAGTTAAGAGTACGGTTTATGGGGACATATCGAGTACTTACAGTATTTATATGCTAATCGGCTATGCCAGGGCCATATAATATTCCTTCTTCTGTCTCGTAGAACTCATTTTGAGACAAAAAATTGCTTCTACGCCTTGTTCGAGCCTCTTTCGTGGATTCAAGGCTGCGTCTCGTCGATCTTTCTAGGCGCTGTCGATCCCGCGCATCGGCGAATATGGACGATTGCTGGCCTATAATTATCCCCATCGTTGCCATGGTTTGAAGAACAACAATGAAACCCTCATTAAATCCCTGCTGCTAGATATGCCGCGATATCAATCGTTTTTACACCACAGTGAAGGTGTTTAGGTGCGAGTCGCCAGATGGTCGAGTTGAAGATCTCCTTGTTATTTTGAGTGTCGCCACCTAAGCACCTCTTCAACAAGTCCCTCGATGATACATCGTTATAAATTTGCTCAATAGCATTTTTTACATCTTCATGTAGTGGAGCTTCGTTATCGAATTCATTTAGTGCATTCTCGGCTTCGGCAATGCTGCACTTGAACCAATTTTGTGATCCTACTGGACAGTACATATGCTGGGGATTTTCGTTCGTCGAGATTTTGTGGTAGAACGTTGCCCACACAGCATTGTATATGTCATCAACAGAATTTGGATGTCTTCTGATGGCCAAACCGTAGAAAATTGTCAATTCTTTTATTAATTTATCACTTAATTTTCCTTTTCCTCCGAGTTTTTTCACTTTCTTTGCATTTCAACGTGTCTGACGTTCTTCGTCACTATCATATCATCACCGTAAGGTTTGTCTTCCAATAAGGCCTTGAACGTTTTTATGTTGCCACCACCAATGTACTTAGTGTAACGCACTTCATGGATTTCCCAAAATCGTCGGAACATTTCTGTAATTCCATCAACCTCCATTTTACCAGCTGATCCATCGTGATTTGAAGTACATTCGCCGCTATGTTCTTCGAACCAATCGTCGTATGCTTGAGTGCCGAATTGTGAATCCCATAAGTTACAAGCATGGCAGTAGGATGATTTCACGCCAAGATCAATCACTTTGCCTGTATATTTGCCGATAAGAGTTGCGATTCAAAACAATGAACTGTATCCTCGCTTTTTTCATGTTCCGTCCCCCGACACAGAAATGTCTGTCAGTGGATTTCCATGCTCAGCATTCTTTGTTTTTTCTGCACTCACTGCCTTCCCAATGGCATCATGCATGGTATCTGCATTCACTGCTTTCCCAATAATATCGTATACAGCTTTCGCTCCACTGTGGATATTCTTCATGGTGGCGTAGTACAAGGTTGAATTTAGACCTTGGGATATATCTATCAAGCCACAGAATAAATTGATTCCCTCTCTGCTAATTCTCAATAGTCTCATTACAAAAACTATCCTCCTGTTTACTTCGTACGATTTGTTATCGATTAGAGGAGATGAATTAATATATTGAACACCACACTTGCACTGTATAGATATTTTGAAACCCAAGCCGCGAGCACTGGATTCACCAAATTGAATATCTCCATTACACTTTCGACACATGATTAATTGCGAGATCGCAGAGACAACAGAAGCGAAGGCAATAATACGACATCCGTAAATTGTGAGCACTATAATTTTTTCGTCTCTCGCTGTCGACAGTTTCTGTACCGACGTACTTGTAAAAGTCGTTTCCGCTTCCCGAGTGTGCATATTTTCCGAAAATTTTCTTTTTTTCTGTCTAGAAGCCAGGGATGTGAACCGAAACAAAACTATGTAAATTATTTCGCTCCAGAAACGTTTCACTCCAGAAGTGAATCAATATTATATTTATAGTTTTGTTTCACTCTAGGAGTGAAACTGTTTCTGAAGCTGAATTCATTTAAAAGAAGCGGTACAATAACTGTTCGGTTTCGGTTAAAAAACGCCTACTGGTGAGGGAAAGTAGCTAAATTGAAACAGCTACGGAGCGAAATGTTATGAATTCTGTTTCGATTCCTTTGATTCGCTTTTAGTATTTTTACTCTTTTCACTACTTCCAATATTTTCATTATTTTCATTATTTTCATTGTTTATTATATTCATTATTTTAATTATTTATACTTTCATTTTTGTTTTTGTTATTTTTATTATTTTCAATGTTTTTACTACTTTTATTATTTTCATTATTTTTTGTGTCTTTTATATACTTTGCGTTCACAAACGTTCCAGACGTTTCCAAATTATCCAAATATTTCCATGTCACTACACGTATACATAGATACGTGCTCACACGCATAATCTCGCGATTCTCGCGATTGTCTTTTACAGGTTTCGGCGCTTTGGAAACGTTCTGTTTCTGAACGCCTCCAAACACCACAATACTAGTACAAATACAAATACGTGTATAATATATATTGATATGTGTTATATCGATTATGTATATTATATATAATATACATTTTCTATTTTAATATTTATGTCGCACTAAATACTAAATATATGTATAAAAAGCTATTCTTGCACGTAAAACTTACATCTAGAGTACATGACAAATTTGATAAACCAAGGGGTATTACAATGTTAATGCAATATGGTAGTTCGTAACAAATTTGTTTGTCATAGAAGACTGTTGCAAATTTGTTAGTTTACAAATAATTTATTTGAAAAATTTGCAATATCGCAAAAGTTAATGCAATGTGTTACTTCGTAACAAATTTGTTTGCAGATATTCGAGAACCGAAATAAGATAAACAAGTCTTTTTTCTTGACCGTAGACTAAGAAAGTATTCATTGTTTTTACATACTCCGTACGTATTTGTATTATGTCTTCTCGTACCGAAACAAAATGCTATGTTAGTTCAGTTCGGAGTGAAACCATTTCAGTGTTCAAAGCTGGAGCGAAATTCACTATTTCGCTCCACAATGAATTACGGTTCAAACAATTTCGTTCTAATTTTACTTCGGCTCCAATTTCGCTCCAAAGAATCAATTCACTTCCAATTTCACTCCAAAGATTTCGGTTCTTGTAACCGAAACAACTACGAACCGGTTCAGTCATGTGAATTACGTTTCGGTTCACATCCCTGCTAGAAGCACGAGCATGATTTTGTCTACTGTGTTTTCTATCCATGTCGTATACGCGTCTGTTCGAAGCAAATTTTCTTTCGATACTAAGCAACGCTCTACCGAAATTTTTGACCTGGCATGACCGTCATAACTCGTCCGTAATAAAATTAAACGCGTTTTGTTTGCTGTTTCATGGTTTTTCCGTTTCGCCAAGCTCAACATCGAGCAGGCACGGACCGCTGCCACGCGCCATCGAGCGATATAAAATCACTTGTATATTTTTTACTTTTAAGAATTTCGATTTGAAATTTGGCACACATATTCTTAACGTCTTTAAGAATACGAAACGTTAGTCGTTGAAAAATCAATTTTAAAAAGAAAAAAAAATTCCCCCCTTAAGGGTGCGCAGGAGCCAGAGCCAAACTCCGAGTTGACTTCAGCGACAGTTGCGGTAAAAGTAGGAAACTCCGGGATAAGGACAGAGAGGGCGATACAACAATTGCAGGCGAGACGAGGACTGGCCGATTAAGCTTTACAGGCCGGGCCGCGACCTGGACAGCTTCCTGCGGCGGTCGGTCACGCTTGTGACCGGGAAGGAAGTGATGCGGACGCTTCGGGCTACACACCTGGAGAAAGCTCCAGGGCGTGACGGTGTCCCGGGCAGAATCGTCACCGAAGTGGCAAAGGAGGGCGGTGGATTGCTGAGGGCCATCATGGATGGCTGCCTCCGGCATCCATAGTCCCCCAGCGTTGGAGGGACCAGCGGCTGGTACTGCTGAAGAAGGCGGGGAAGGACCCTGCCTTTCCCACCCCATACCGCCCCCTTTGTCTGATAGGCGACCTGGCGAACGTGTGAGAAAACATAGTGAAGGTGAGGCTTGAACAGGCGTTAGGCACGCTCGGATTGTCGCCGTTGCAATACGGTTTCCGTGCGGGCCGGAACACGTTCCAGGCAATGAGGCAAATTCAGAACATCGCTGAGGTGGCTAAGAGCCACCGGCGGTTCTGCGTCCTCATCGCCTTGGACGTGAAAAACGCGTTCAACTCCCTCGATTGGGTTATCCTAATGAGGAGACTGGGGGAGCGGGGAGTTCTCACATATCTTCGCCGGGTTGTGGGGGCGTACCTCAGTAGGAGGTACGTTTACTT